ACTCTGTCACCTGAGGCTGTTAGGCAAAGTCAAGTCATTCCTTTCTTTTAATGATTTTGAGTTTGCATTCCATGCTTTTATCACCTCCCGCCTTGATTATTGCAATGCTATATACTACGGTGTTAACCAGTCCTCCCTCTCTCGTCTTCAGATGGTTCAAAATGCTGCTGCTTGTCTTTTGACAAGTACTAGGAAATTTGAGCATATAACCCCGGTACTGGCTTCTCTCCACTGGCTTCCAGTCTGTTTTAGAATTGATTTTAAGTTATTGATTTTTGTTTTTAAGGCTCTTAATGGTTTGGCACCATCTTACCTCACTGAATTAATGCTACAAGGTCCCTCAGATCTTCAAGCCAGTTTCTTTTAGAGGTTACTAGGGTCAGATATAAACGCTGGGGTGACCGTGCTTTTACTGTTGCAGCCCCTAAATTGTGGAATAGTCTACCTTTTAATGTTAGGTCAGCTACTGACCTCAGTACTTTTAAATCATTGCTTGAAACATATTTTTTTGGCTTGGCTTTTAATACACAGTAGGGCTTGATGCATTCCTTTTAATTCCTTTTTAATTTTAATTTATTGAACCTATGTTAACTGTGTCTGTTATTGTACTGTTTTATTTTTATTTCTACTGATCTTATTTACTGTATTTTAGTCATATATTGTCATTTTATTCTGCCATGTAAAGTACTTTGGTCAGCTGGATATTGTTTTTAAAGTGCCATATAAATAAATTTGATATGATTTATATTGTCTCATAGCAAATTTTCTGTGAAGACTTGTTAGGACAAAGTCACTTCAGCTCTTGACCTTGAGAGACATTCTCAGACTTTGTCTCTTTGTATCGTCTTGCTCATCAGTCTCCCAGCACTGTATGTTAAATACAGGCAGGATGTTACTTCACTTCATTTGTCCTTTTCCATTGACTGACTATGGAGAAAATATGAGGATTCCACTACACACAGTATGATACAAACCTTACAATCCAGGCCACACTAAATTCCAAGTTGTTGAAGGTCTCGTTGTTTTTGTGTTGATATTGTCATGTGTCACTTTCAAGGACAGCATGTGGTTTTGTTACACATTCTATTAGGTGTCTTTCACTTAGTGTTAGTAAAGGCCTGGTTGAAACCCGTTTGCCAGCACTGCTCCCTGCCTGCTGTACATAGACACGGTTGAAATTTTCCCACCTGTCAGTGTGTGTATGACTCATTCTCCAGCGATTCTGATGGCTACTGTACATCACAGCTACAGCGGAAGATGAGTAATTTCAGATTGAATGGCAATTAATAGATGCCAGGCAATTAGCATGTTTCTGAATGCATTTTCAAGGTAACGTCGGCAGCTTACAGGGTGCGCTAGAAGAACACCCTAACCACGAAGAAAGCACAAGATATGTTGTGTTTACATGCTGGAGTTTTGGCTTTGTTGGTTTAAAAAAAACAAACACACACTTCAAGCTGCTGTCGGACAAGTTTGCAAATATGATATGCTTAGTGATTATTGAGTATTCAGTGGTTTGAAGCTAATGTAATCACAGTGTGAAAACACAGCTGATATGAGAGCCAGATAAAATAGACTTGTGGTTGCTTATATATCTTGTGTAAACTCTGGCTACAGAACACTGGAGTAGGGCACTCAATGGTCCCTGTGTGTGTTTCCATGTCACATACATCAGCGCACCTAAAAGACAGCTGTACCGTCCATTTGTTAACATGCTGACAAGAATTGAAAATATTGACTGTGCTACATAAAGTGTGCTGTACAGTTTTGCTCTACTTTTTTTGCTTTTGTTTTACTTTCTTAAGTCACTTTTTGTTCTTTTTCCTTTAGTTTATTCCCTTCGGCAACATTGAAGCATCGGCACAATAATGATGCTTTCCTTCTTTAGGCTGTTAGATGTTGTTTGGATTCACAATTCCTTTTCTAAGGGGTAAATTTATTTTTATTTTTTTGCGACTTCCCTCAGGATTATTTCTGGCATTTT